TTGGTTCGATTTACGGATCGAATCGCAACTAAAAAATCGACAAAAAAATCAAATCGGAGGAGCTAGATTAATCGATATTCGATTTAATCGATTTTCAAACGACATCTCTATGATCGACGTATTTTTTACAGGATACTGACATCAAAAGCTTGCTGCAGAAACTTAACTCAAACAGGTACTTGGTTCTACAGTGATATTCTAGAAATTGCCGCGCTTAAATTCGATCGCCAAAAGTGTATAAAAAAATTAACAACTTGCTCAATTTATGCAACATGAAAGCAAGAAATTGCATTATAAGATAGTAAGCATGATGTACAGAAAGATAGATAGATAAAAGCACGGTAAAGAGGGAGACCCTAACCCATTATGCACAAGATACCTTCGGCTTCCCTAATGAATCGTTAAAAAAACATTGGAGATGTAAAAAAATCCACCTTTGTCTAGCCATACACCAGACAGTCCTCATCTTCAAGGCACCTTACTATTTGGCCATCGTAGTTGGTTGTGGCCCGTTAGGTAGTCAGAAAGTAGCCTGATGCCATTTCTGTTTAATTGAATAGCATCCGATCTATTAAAAGGGTAGCCGAAGAGCTTGGTTTGTCCGCCTCCGATTACTGCGTTCAGCGAGTATCCACTCAGTAATTATGGTTCTCTAAGAACACGAAAAACATATTTCTTTTTAATCACCATAAATTTATTTTATTATTAATTCCATCTCACTTCTCCTTTTACCTTCCAGATTCCACACATTCAATATCACTCACCAATTTAAGTCCCGTCGAATCCAGCTTCTCACCCGCTGTGCCAACACCAATGAAACGCGGCCCCGGACGTCCACGCCTCAAGACCGCCGGTCCAACATATCAAGGCACACGTGGTGCACCACGCACACGCAAGCCAATCGGTCCGCTTGTAGTGCCATTGGGTCACAGTCCCGGCGCCACGCCAGTCTCACGCAGTCCGGCAGTTAGTCGAGCGCCAAGCCCAAGTTTTTCGGAACGCAGCAGCTACAGCGCGACGGGTGTAACGATTTCTGCAGCTACAAAGGATGCCGCCGGTGGTAGTGGCGGCGGCGGCGGCGGAGGAGAGAATTAATTTCGAAGGATATTTAATTGAATTATCAGCTAATTAATTTATTACAAAAAAACTATATTAAATATATGTTTAAATTTAAGCTGACTATTTTGTAAAATTAACTTATTTAGATTTAGTTTCAACCACACTCACTTTTAGTAATTTAAGTTCAAAGTGTTCATTATGCATCATTAATCGGTTTAAGGTTAAAATGAAAAGAAAAGTAATAACAATAATCTACTTAATTACATATGTATGTATGTACTCGCTTAAGTAAATAGCACTCTTTTCTTTTTTTACAAAATTCACAATGTTTTGCGTGATACATTTTTTTCGTTAATTTTATTTAAAAATGTAGCAGATTCTATACCATAAAACTGTGTGCTGAACTCACGAAAATTCAATAAATTTAAAAAAAATATTCCTCAAAATTTGCAACTTTTTATTCAGAATTTTTATAAATTTATCGGGTATGCAGTTTTGTAGCCCATTCAATTTTAGTGTAACAATTTGCACGTGTGAAAGTCCTAAAATATCCCGTTGATTTGTGAGATATTTTTTTTTTTGTCGAGAGTGTTGCGCATTTTCTTCCATATAAAAATGGATTTTATGCGCAACAGGGATGAATAAAATTAATTTTTATATGGAAGAAAATGCGCCACACCCTCGACAAAAAAATTCAAACCTGCACCTATTTAGGCTACAAAACTGTGTACCCAAAAGTTTCTAAAAAACTAAAAAAAGTTGAAAATTTTGATGACATTTTTTTTTGAAATTTGTTATTTTTTCCTGAATTTCGCACAAAGTTTTAAACTTTGACTTATTGGGTTTATGCTATAAAATTTACTATATTTTTTTTTTAAATAACGTAAAAATTGTGTCACTTAAAACATTGCGAATGTTGTAAAAAATAAAAGTGTGCTAAATAATTACGTGGGCGCCACTGTACATAACATGTTCATATGTACATATATAATTTTATGCGCAATTTTGCGTTAAAAATTACAAAAAAAAAGAAAAAAAACTATAATTTAATTTTTAAACTTTTATAGGACACCCTCAAATTGAATTACCAAGCTTAACTGTGTATGACTAGGAGAAATTCGCCTGAACGTTGTATTACTTATTCATAAAATTCTTTGTTATTGACATACTTTTTTATTTGTATAATCGATACCTTATTTCATATTCTGAACCAATGTAATTTGTACAATTTTTATTTGCCAACGCGGCACCTCAAGATAATGTAAAAATAATTTTATCAGGCAGGTTCTGCGATTTCCGAGTGAATTTCAACCCTGCCAATTGAATTCAAAGGCATTTGATTGAAATTTACTCGGAAGTGAATTGCAGAACGGCCTGTATATTTGTTGTTTTATACTAATAAAATCACAAAACTCAGCGCATCACTATTGTGATATCTACTGCGCCTAAAAATATGCCACGAAATTCAAAAGTTGGTAGATTTCTCAAAAAAAAAAATACATTCATATATATTTACAATAAATATAGCAGAACAGTAGGCATTTCAATGGTAAAAAGGGAACAGTACAACTTTTGATTTCTGACTTCAGATTCAGATTTTCGGGAGCCTAACTTCTATAATTATTGACTTGAATCACTCGCCAGATATTTTTTGTTTTCGATTTTGTGTAGCTGTGTAATTTGCTGTGTGACTATAGCTCTCACTTAGCTATAGTATTTTAGAGTCGCTTTAAATTGATTAACTAAAAGTCTACTGACACTTAGAGATTTTGAAGAGCTTAAAAATTGCAAATTTTCAGACCATGGATATCGGTTTTAAAGAAGAAATATTTTTTAGTACATATTTATTAGTTTCTAAGTATAACTTAAATGTATGTATATCGATAAGCTGAAACTTCGAATAATGTATGTATTCTATAATTATTTTGATGTATAATAAAATATAGACATATTTAAGCAAAATTTAATACTAAAAATTCGAATTTCGTATTATTGTGTTTAAAAGCGAAATATTTGCTCAAACCTTTTTCGTTCGCCGCCCACTGGTAGAAAACATTTTTTGTTGAGACTCCCTGAATTGGTTAACTTCAATTTAACATTGCTGCTAAAATAAAAAATTTCAACTATTATTTTAAAAATGCATGTATCTCGTTTCGGAATTCAATAAAGAATTTTTCTAGAAGAGCAATCTAAACGAATATTTAGTAATGTTTAGAGCAGGCCCGTAGGCAGCATTTTATCAATATTTCATGATTTTTATTTGTTTCGCTCAAATTTATACTGAGTTTGATTTTTTCGCTCAACAGAAATTTATTACTATTTAATTTATATTTTTTCGGTCACAAATAATGATAAGTTTGCGATTTTTATTTTTTCGCTCAGATATAATACGTATTCACTAATGAGTTTTGTTTTTCTGCTTAAAAATAATTTTGATTTATAAAAGTTAAAACGCCATACAGCCGCAACCAACTGCAATTTTGACCTGCAAAGTTTGAAACTTATTCCTTTCACCTTTGAAAAAGATACGTCGGAAACCAAGCTACTAGCTTTCAAGTTTTCAGTTTCTATAGAGACTTGGAAACTTTAAATAATTTTTTTTTTCATCTAATACCCAAAATCGATAATACCATAGTCGAAGATATCACATATAAATTTTGGTCCCGATTGGAGTCGGTTAAGACGTCTTTATAGGGTAATCTGAACATTGACCCCTGCGCGACCCGCCTTAATCGACTTCAAACGAGAGCAAGATTTATATGTGATATCTTCGACTATAATAGCAACGACGTAGGGGTTAAGGCTTAGGAAATTTTATGTAAAAATTTGCTTACTACATTTTAGGGCCACCCTTATGTACATGATGAAGCGACAAGCATTCCCTTTAATATTGGTCGCAGTTTTTAGTAAAAAAAAAACTAGAAGAAAAGTTTTCCAAAAAATGCACAATAAATAGTTTGTTTTGAGATTTTGATAGTTTTTCGGCCTATTGGGTTAAAAAAAAAAACATCGAAAGACATGCCATAAATTTTGTTAAAATTTTGTATAATTTGAAATTCACAACGACTCAAAATATGTTGAAAATTTTATCTTCCAACACAGATTACCATTAACCAATCACCTGCCAAGTGTCAAACAAATGTATATTTATGTATTTTTAATCAAAATAATTGAGCGTAAAAACACAATCGAAAATTTACGTATTTAACGAGCATCCAAATCAACTAACCAACTCACTTCACTTCAAATCATATTACGGTAATTTATGTTATTGCCAATTTATGATTGCCACAATTTACATACGTACATACGTACAGTGAAGCCTGCAACACGCATAGTGGTAATACTAACTATGCAACTACAACGGCAATCAAAGCGCCAACAAAAACAACGACAACTAAAACAAACTGTTTGAACAGCTGCTTTTCACTTTGCTCTTTGGCTTTGCGTGGCTCCTCGGACTGGACTCTCGACTGCTCCTTGTCATATCAATTAAAAATTCAAATTCAATTAAAATCAAATGCGGATTGTCGATTTTAATGCGTTGCTCTCATACTCGTGGCCGAACGTTGGAAGTTGCAAGAGGTGGGAATAAAAGTATTTAAAGTTCGTTGCCTATCTCGCACAACAACGAATCGTAAAAATATTAACAAAACTTTCAATTAAATGCGCAAAAATGTTGGCATGTTGCATGTGGCAACAATGAGGCCGAGTGGCAGGCACATAGTATGTGTTGGAATGCTCTGTGCACTATATAGAGTATCTTCAGTGTTGCAAAATCATTGGCTTTTGTCAGTGGCATGTCAGTAATGCAGGACAAACGATCTTAGCTGGAAGGGGCAATCTGAAGGTAATTTGTACAGTTTTATTTGCAACTACATTGAATTTCGTTGGAATTTTAGATTGTTATGTTTATTTTTACCTTCCTTTTTTAGCACTTAGAGCACTTGTCCTTAGCAATTTACGATTATATTTTATTTATATATACATACATACAGTGAATCAAACAAATGACCACGTGTTGTTTTTTT